GAGGTCCCCCAGCCCTCTCCAGATTGCCCGCCCGCCCGCCCGATCGGGGAAAAAAAAACCCTCAGATCCATCATCCCACAGGCAGCTGGCCACTCACCGGGGAAGCACACCACGTAATGGAGCACGGAGAGGGTGATCTTCAGGCAAAAGATCCAGCAACACGGTTGCAGTAGCCTCCGCATGTCCAAAGCCGAACATCGAAAAAAGCAGAGCGGGGGGGGAGGCTTCGCTTGAAGGAGAGCTTTTAAAAATTAAGAGGGAGGATTCCACAGACACGAGAAATACACACAGAGACACACGAAAGAGAGAGAGAGAAAAAAGAAATAAAAAACTTGCTGGGCAAAGATGGATTCAAAACTTGCACGCCTCCCTGCCCCTTTAGCTGGAAACAAAGGGGAGGGGGGAATTATTATTAATTTCTTGGAGGGGGTGGAAAGGAGGGAGTTGCAACGGGCGCCCCCGTTTCCCCGCGCACGGTTCTTTTTAAAAAAAAATGTGAATAATCGGCGCTCGTTCCGCTGCTCCTTTCCGTCTTCCTCCCTCACACACACACACTCTTCTCTGCTCTTCTCTCTCCCCGGAGTCGGCGGCCGGTTCTCGGCGGGGGTGGGTGTGCAGAAAGAGCCCCAGGCCCAGAGGCGCCGAGCCCAAGAAGCTTCCCCGCTCCAGGCCTCGGCAGCCAATGCCGGGCGGACTTTGGGAACCGGAGAGAGAGGGAGGGAGGCGAGCCGAGCCCAGCCGAGCCCGCGCCGCTCACAACTTCGCCGCGGCTCGCCCAAGCAGCGGCCGGAGCAGCCCAGGCGCCGGGAAGGCTCGGTGAGTCGAGAGCGCCTCAGCGGGAAGGCTCGGGCTCTCCCTCATGCGGGCGGGCAGCTCCTCGGAAGGCCGAAAGGGAAAAGGCGGCAGCAGCAGCAAGAGGAGGAGGAAGAGGAGGAGGAGGAGGAGCGGTGGCGGTGGCGGCAGCAACGAGGGAGTCCTCTCGGCGGCAGCCCCAGCCAGCGAGGGCTTTCGGCGGCAGCAGCAGCAGCGACGAGTCAGGCTGCCCGAAGCAGGTTTCAGTCCATTCCGCCGCGGCTGGAAGTTGGGGCTCCGGGGAAAGCGGGCGAAGGCGAGGGCGAGTCGTCAGGCAGGAGCTGCTGCTGCTGCTGCTGCTGCTGGAAGCGTTCCATTCTTCCATACAGGAAGTAACATGTGAGCCTGGATCCTGGCGGAGACTTTAAAGCGCGGAGAGAGCGAGAGAGAGAGGAGGGGAGGGGGGAGCGGA